GCTACTATGAACGTTGTTATCACCAGCGTTTTATTCAATTTCATGTATTCTGATGGGCGTAATTAATAATAGATAACATATTTTATTTCTTATGGAAAATGAGGTCTTTTGAATCCAAACGTAGTTCCTTGAAGGAGACTGCTGAAGCAAACTGTCCATCACCGTTGATGAAGATGAACTAGACGCGTTGTTTGCTTTTAGTAACTACATTAGTCAAAACCTGACTTTGATTGAAGTCATCAAAATCATCAACAATGATATGTACAGGTGTTCTAATAATAAACTGTGAGATGAACATCCCCAAGATCTTCTGAACGGGTGGGTCTAACGATCTCGCACGCGTATTAGGCAAAATATCGTTAGGCAAAATTCCCATCAGGCAAAGTATCCCATCAGGCAATCTGTTAGGCAAAGTGTCTTTAGACGAAATTTTAGGCAAAACGTTTTCAGGTAGATTGAACGATCACGGAGAAAAGCATGTGAAAATTTCAGATAATACAAAACGTATCTTTCAGCAGTGTCCTGCCAGTGAAGAAAATGATCAACATTGCTCGGTGATGATGTTCGAAAGGGGCAAGCTGAAATTGAGAATGTTGATTTTTAAATAAATTATCACGAGTGCTTTGAACAATCAGCAAAATTTTGGTTGCATTTCTCATATGCCGTCGGGACTATTTGTTCACTGTTCTTTCTCCCAAAAGCGGATTCAAACGTGTTAACAATATACTATTAATTTACAGTGAAATCACTGAGGCATCGAGAAAGGAATGATAAGACGTTATCGGATGATGAAGAACAAAACAGATCAAAAATGCATCTAGGGATTATCATACTTTTTTCTCGTTCATCGATATCAGTCCTATCACGCACGGTCAGAACTGGACACTTGCTATTCTCCTATACAAGCCCGTTCCAGTTCATCAAGTCATTTTTGATCAACATTGATCAGTTTTCACATTTTTAATCGCTTCGGAACGTCTTAAGAAATTGATTTTAATATCCGCGAGTGCGTGCTTATTACTGTCTGCAATTTTTACGATCCCCACTTTCCGTAGCCAGGAAACCGACTAGTTATTCGATCAAGATATGAATCTTTTATCATGAATGAAATTAAAATTGCAGTTGAGAAAATCAGCAGTAAATAAAACATTCAATTCAGATGTTTACCAGGACAGGTACATTGAGCGCAACCGGTCTCAGTTGTTTTGCATTCCTCACAATTTTTTCTTTTTTTGCAACAATTCTGACTATCTCATGGCTATCAATCAGTGCGTTTTATGGATTGCGCCCATCTGCATCCGCTTGGACGAATGCATCGAATGTTGCCAAAACAGGTTAGCTGTTCCCAATGCTACAGTATTCATACTATAAATATGTTGCGTGTTACTCACACACGAGAAGCACTTCCTGATGAAAAACTAAAACTTTTGAGGTATTATCCAAAGTAATGGTGTTTTGGTGCCGTGGATGAGCTCTGAGCAAACTTCCATTGTAACAGTTGATGAATAATTCTTTCTTTTAGGTGAGCATTAGTCAAAATGACGAGAGCATGCATCATGCTTCAATGATGTGCTAATTCAAAGATTCAGATGTAGAATAGTGGCATATTACTGTATTTCAGCTGGCAGTGAGTGTGTTCTTCCGCAACTAGACCCGTGGGATGAATGGATGATGAAATTTGTACATAAAAGCTACGATGTGACCGAAAGTGAATGTGCGGTAAAGCCGAAAAAGGTTCGAACCGAACTGCGCAGGAATACTTTATGGAGTGTCGTTGAGGAGAATGAAAGTATGCTATAACAAAATCTTAGATTGCATCGTAATACTCACAACGGGTGGAAATAATTAATTAGAAACGATTTTTGAACACTGATGAACAAATTCAAAAAAGTCGATCTAGTTCCGGCTCCAGCTCCACTTCGGCTCCACGTTATGAGGAATTTCTTCTCCAACTCCGGCTTCAGCCCCACCTTCGGCTCTATGCTTTTTAGAATTCCAGCTTCGCCTCCAGCTTTGTATCTTTGAATATTCAGCTCCGATTCCAGCTTCATCTCTAATATTCATTGTTCCCCTTAGTTGAAGCGACTGTAAGGAGCCTATATATTAACACTCATTACATTGTGATCAAAACAGCTGGAAAGAGATTTTAAACACTGCCAACCTGAAAGATTTTTTTTCAAAAGACCACGTTGTCGATAGCTCCCAGGGATGAGCGAAACAACGACAACAATGTATATGAGTTGATGCTGAACTGATGAGGAATTCTGTAAAGCGAGGTACCTCGTCGAATTTCATGAGCAAGTGCAGAGAGACCCCTCCTTTCTTCATTCCAACATCAAATCGGGTTCGGTAAAAGACAGAGATTTTTGCCGCATATGGCAGGCTAGCATGGAAATGTTGAAAAAATCGTACTATCGAGTGGGTAGGTAAAATATTGTTGCCGAACATCTCTTTATCTAGAAAAAAGACGACCCTAGTTGTCGCGGTAACAGCGAATTAGGGAATATTTCCTAATCGAAAAATGATAATAAACATAAAAATTCTCAAGGCAAAAAAATATTGAGACATCATAAGATCTGATAACCGCTGATCCAAAAGGCCGATAATTGCCGAGATCAGCGAAGACAAAACAATTGCCTCGGGAAAGGGGTGGAACATTCGAAATCAAACAGTATAAAAGAAGCAGCAAAAAGCCACTAGGATATTCGGGTTCCTAAATCGGTCTTCACTCCGGGGCTCCATCCTCAAAATCATCGTTTCTTGACGCTAATTAGCGTCCAAACGTTCCAGGGCACTAAACAGTGCCAAATCGTTGCCGGGTGCTAATTGGCAC